TTTCAATATGCTGTCTAAGTTGGTCATAACTTTCCTTCCGAGGAGTAAGTGTCTTTTAATTTCATGGCTGCAATCACAATCTGCAGTGATTTTGGAGCCCCCCAAAATAAAGTCAGCCACTGTTTCCACTGTTTCCTCATCTATTTGCCATGAAGTGATGGGACTTCACTTCACTTCATGTCCATCATTACGCACTGATTTTCTCTGGATCCCTGGGATGGAGTCAACCACATTAGCTGTTTGCCCCCTGGATCCCTCCCGCGTTTCTCCAGGGACAGGAACACTTTTCCTGCAGACGAGATAAAAATTCTATTCTTGCCTGGAGAACTCCATGGAGAGAGGAACCAGGCAGGCTTTACCGTCCATGGAGTCACAGAGAGTCGGACATGATCGAGCAACTAACACTTTTCACTCTCATCTCCTTGGTGGAAAGCCAGTTGTCAGAAAGGGGACAGAGTACTTCCAGTTTATTGCCTCTTCCTTTATCTTCCCTCCACCCTTGAACTGTTTTTTTTTTTTTTAATAATTAATTTATTTTGGCTGCACTAGGTCTTCCTTGCTGTGGGCAGGCTTTCTGTAGCTGCGACAGTGGGGGCTACTCTTTGTTGTGGAGCACGGTCCTAGGTGCACGGCCTTCAGTAGTTGCAGCCCCTGGGCTCAATAGTTGTAGCACACGTGCTTAGTTGCTCTGAAGCATGTGGGATCTTCCTGGATCAGGGATTGAACCCATGTCCCCAGCATTGGCATGTGGATTCTCTTCCATTATCCCACCAGGGAAGTCCCCCCCCCAATTATTTCTTCATGACTTTTACACGGAGTAAGGACATGTGTTTACCCTTTAGGCTCTCATGGAATTTTCTAGAAAGAGGGTAGTGACCCTGAAGGTGGGGATTCAGGTGGTGGGTGCATGACCTGTTCTGGTGGGAGGGTCATCATCCGTTTTTCAGGTGGGGCTGGGGGGGGGCAGTCCTTCAAAGGCCGTGGGGAGTAGGAGTGACTTTAGTGGCAGGTGGGGGTGGGTGGTGCTCCTTACGTGTCCCTCCACCCCAGCCTTGGAAAGGTCATTGGCCGGAAGAAAAAGGCACTGAAAGGAAATTTAACAAAATGCTCCTCCGCAAATTTTCTAAATGGAGTTAAGTGTGCAAAGAGTAGGTGGGAGTAGGTTCCGGTCTGAAGACCTGCTGACCTTTGTAGCGACATTTGAACCTTACACCTCTGGCTGTGAGGTGGGAGGTGGGCCCAGGCCAGGACTCAGCAGAATTACCAATGTCCTCCAATGCCACACACGGGCGTCGGGGCAGACGAAATTTCTCAGAACATGTCAGAGGCACCGATGCTGTTCTTTGAGAAGGACCATCGTCGTAGGTGCTCAGAAATGTTGCATTTCGAAAGGCAGACCTACGAATCTGGGTTATCCAAGTGCTTGGGTCTTCACTGGAAATGAAAGACACTCTGATCTCTCAAACTGCCTAATTTGATTTTATCAGAAATTTATACATACAAAAATTTCCCCGTAGGCTGAGAACTCTGCTGAGAAAACTTAGCCCAGAGTGTAATTAGCCTGAGAGAATTATCAGCATCGGAAAATAAAACTGCATATGGTAAAGCGTCCTAATTATGGCAACGGTGTCAGTTATTCACCCCTAATGCCTGTGTGTTTATCCCATCATCTCATCTGGTAATGATCGTGACCAGGGCGATACTCCCTCGGTGTTGCCCAATAATGGGTGGTGGAGATGGTGTATCTTTGCCTTTATTTTTGCTGGCACATCCTGGCATTGAAGCACATTAAAGTAATAAAATCAGGCAGCAAGGCGTCCTAGTCACTCCCACCATGTTCCCATAAGCCCCTCATTTACAACAGACTGAGACAGAAAAAAAAAAAATTTTTTTTAGAGCAATTTAAGATGAGGCAACACTGGATATGTAAATCCTCTTTTATGGGCAGTCATGGCAGCTGGCTGATTTTTCTTCTAAAATGCCTGACCGCCTTCAGAGCAGCGCCCGAGCTGGGTCGGAACAATTATGTTTGATGGTCACATGGGTGGGAAATGTACGAAGGCAGCTTTCATCACTACCTTCTGGGCTGTGGGCGTTGTGCCTTGCAGACCATCATTCCACTTTCCAGGTCTTGTGTTAAGCCCCAGTTCTAGTTCTGGGAAGGAGCCTGTTAAGAAGGTGAAGTTTTTAACCTGGCTGGATGACACAAGCCGTTTTTAGGTTTTAAAAGATGAGTTGCTCCTCCCTCCCTTTTTGTTTCTCTTTAAGAAGGAGCTGCCAGGGTTCAGGAAAAGCTGAGAACAATTTCAAGGGAAAACACTGGCTTGAGTTTGAGACCATGAAAGAGACAGAACAGAGAAGCAGAGAGACCTGTGCAGGGTAGCCGTTCTCCAGACGCCAAGGTAGAAAGCGGTGGGTCCCAGCCATGGGGCTTTTGGTCAAAGTGCATTTCACCAAGATGCTCCGGCTCCTCGGGGCTCTTGCCCTGTTCAACATAGAGTTATAAGAGGATTCCCGAGGTTAGAGACACAAGAGAGAAGGAAAAACACAATGGCCTGACTCTGCAGAATGTATCTCAGGCTTGACTGAGCTTAGTGTAACCACTATAAAAATAAGAGGTTTAGAAGCTGTGGAACAAGTCAGGACTGGCCAAAATACGTGCCTTTGTGTCCCTGAACTTTCATCTCCTCCTTCGCCCCCTTTTCTGGCGAGACTCTGCCCAAACCTGCAGTGGTTAAGACAGCACCATGATTTAGGAGGGATTCCCAGCAACAAGCTGCTCAGAGTTTTATGTAACTGAGCTCTGCGCTGATGCCTGTTCCAGGACATAGCCAAGAGGAGACTAGGCAGCCTTCAAAATGGCCATGAGTCTATGGGTCCCTCAGGCAGGGTATGGCCTCAGGCAGCCAGAGGGCCATCTGCAGGGTCCTAACTGTCACACCCCTAATCTGTCACAGACACCAAGCTGTTCAGTCGCTCAGTCATGTCCGACTCTTTGCCACTCCAAGGACTGCAGCATGCCAGGCTTCCCTGTCCTTCACCATCTCCCAGAGTCTGCTCAAACTCATGTCCAGGGAGTCAGTGATGCCATCCAACCATCTCGTACTCTGTCGTCCCCTTCTCCTCCCACCTTCAATCTTTCCCGGCATCAGGGTCTTTCCCAATGAATCAGTTCTTTGCATCAGGTGACCAAAGTATTGCAGCTTCAGCTTCAGTATCAGTCCTTCTAGTGACTATTCAGGGTTGATTTCCTTTAGGATGGATTGATTGGATCTCCTTGCTGTCCAAGGGACTCTCAAGCATCTTCTCTAGCACTACAGTTTGAAAGCATCAATTCGGTGCTCAGCCTTCTTTATGGTCCAACTCTCACATCCGTGCATGACTATTGGAAACACCAGGTGGAACTGCCCATAAATGCTAGAAGGGGGAAGAGAGAACTGGAGGAGTTGGAGGGGGTGAAGCCAGTGCCCTGAGCTTAGGGGACTCTGAAGTCACTTATCTGAGTCTATTGGTGCCTCCTCATGTATATTAAGTTCACTCATTATCTTGACACTTATGCAACTGGATTTATCAGCTAGAAGTTCTTTTTTCTTTTTTCAGCTAGAAGTTCTTGCAAGAACCTTCTTATCAACAGATCGTCCACTGGGGTGTGGTTCAAACCATTCTGTCTTATGCATTGACCATAACACTGGGCCAGTCTTATTTCTTGTCCAAGGTGGGGCTGAAGCCCTGGACTGCCAGCATTATAGTACCTTGGGAAACTTGTTAAAAATTCAGATTTCTGGACCTCATACAAGACCCACTGAATCTGACTCTATTTTTTAAATTAATCATTTTGCTTCTTCTTTTTTTTTTTATTGGAGTAAAACATGCAGTAAAGGAAACAAACTTTAATTAAGACTGTCAAAGTGAGTATACCCACCACATAGCCACCACCCAACTCAAGCTATAGAATATCTCCACCACCCTAAGAGCTCCTCCCATCCTTTCCAGACAATACCCAGCTTCCAAAGGCAACTGTTCTTCTGATTCCCATCACACAGTTTTCCTGTGTTTGAACTTCACCTACGTTGGACTCTCCTAAAGGACTCTTTTAAGTCTGGTTTCTTTCCCTCCACATTACGTGTGTGAGATTCATCCACATTGTGGTTTGTAGTAATAGCTATTTTTTTTTCTACTATGGTATGAGTGTATGGTGTAGTGTGTGAGTGTATGGTGTAGTGTATGTGGTGTAGTGTGGAGTAGTATATGAGTATGTGTGCTAAGTTGCTTCAGTCGTGTCTGATCCTTTGTGATCCCATGGACTGTAGCCCGCAAGGCTCTTCTGTCCATGGGATTCTCCAGGCAAGAAGACTGGAGTGGGCTGCTGTGCCCTTCTCCAGGGGATCTTCCTAACCCAGGGATCGAACCCACGTCTCTTACATCTCCTGCATTGGCAGGCAGGTTCTTTACAACTAGTGCCACCTGGGAAGCCCGTATATGAGTATACTACCATTTATGCATCCATTCTACTCTTGGTGGTGTCTGAGTTGTTTCCAGGTTTTAGCTATGATACTAAAACCGCTAAGAATATTCATTTAAGTGCTTTTTGTGCCCCTAACACTCATTTCTGTTGGGAGTAGAATTGCTATGTCATAGCATAAATGCATGTTTATTTTGGGTAAATAATTGCCAAACAGTTTTCTGAAGTAGTTGTACCAATTTGCACTCTCACCAGCAGTGGTTGGGGAGTCCACTACTCCACATTCCCATCCACACTTGATATTGTCTGAGCTTTTCATTTTAGCCATTCTTGTAGGTGTGTAGTCGAATCTGTTTGTGGTTGTAACTTGCATTGCCCTGTTGGCTAATGATGTTAAGAACCTTTTCATGTGCTTGTTGGTCTTTGTCTTTGTGAAGAGGCTGATCAAGTCTTTTTTAAAACTGAGTTTGGGGTCTCTTATCAAATCTTCATTTGTAAGAACAGCTTGTTATGAACAGCCTCTCCAAGTGACTTAAGAACTTCACGCCAGAGAACCACCTCTGAAGAATTTCTTAAGATGTCCAATTCTCTTGAGGCATCTTTTCTCCTTTCTTCAATTCTCAAACCAGCAGTTGACTCTCTCCCTTTCTGTTATTCAGGTTATAGATTCAGTGCTTTCCTCTCAACTCCCTTTGAACTGCAGATGGCATAAATGGACTTCCTGGGCTAAATATGGCCATTTCTGTCTTCAGAGCCCAGCTGAAAATCTCCTGGTCTTTCCGGCAGCATTTTGTTAGCAGTATAACCTTGTTGGGTGGAGAAAGATGGGAGGAGAAAGAAGAGTTTGGGAGCTGCCCCAGGAGGATGAAGTCTATGGCTCCCCTCTCTAACATCTTCCTTTCTTTTCTCCTGGAAGCCCTGGAAGGGAGGATGTCTGCTCAATGTTCTGTGCCTGCGCCCGGGCACGTGTGTGTGGAAGTGACCTGCCTGGGTCATCAGGGAGACATTGTTTCCGCCTGTCTTCCTACCTTCCATATCAACTGTGAGCGATCTGCCATCTAAGCACAAATGCTCCCAGTGGAGGGGGAGACCTAAACACTTTATAGTGTTCCAGGGTCCTAGAGCTCATAGCAACCAGCCCTCATTCCAGAGATGGAAACAGGAGAGAATGCTGGGGATCCTTTCCTGGCAGGAGAACCTGCTGGTCTTTTTTGCAAATGATCATCCTGGCAAGAGAGGTGTGTCTCTTCTAAAGAGGGTCAAGAGATGGAGGGAGGGGATGAGTATGTCTTTCCTTTTTTGCCTTTAGTAATAAAGGGGGTTCCCTCTGGCTGCTCTTTCCCTCTGAGAAGCGCTATTCAGAGGCCCCAAATGGCAGGAAGTGGTGAGGAGATGGAAGAAGGTAGAAAGCTAAGTGTGTGTGTCCTCCCCGCCCACACCTCCCACTTGGAGGCTGGGGGAAGGGACCTCACAAGGCTACTTACAGCATCGTTACTCTTAACATATATTCACCATGATTTTGTGTGCACGCAGAGCAGAGTCTGGCTTTTGTAATTGTGAGTCTGGCTCTGTTAAAGATCTCGTCCATTTGCAGGCTGGCTGTGATGGTGAGAGTATTGGAAATTGCCCATTTTCTCAGTGTCTCTTTATGATTCTCTGGCTAAAGGGTGTTCTATTTAATGTGACAACAGTGGACTTGAAAAGGTAAGACCAGGTTTCTGCAGTATTGAAATAACTGTCCCCAGTTCCCTGTGCACACAGGCACACAGAGAGATACTCAGACAGACACACAGGCACAGGCATACACATGGAGATGGAGACATGCATACACACAGACACAGCAAATACACAGAGCCAAACACAGACACACACACAGACACACAGAGACAGACACACACAGAGGTGCACAGAGACACAGACACACAGGTGGAGACACACAGACACACAGACATACAGACACAGGCCCATACATAGACACACACACACACAGATGGAGACACACAGAGACAGACACACCCAGAGACACATACACACAGGTCGGTGCATACACACACAGAGATGGAGACCCACACACACAGAGATGGAGACCCACACACACAGACATATAAACACAGGCGCATACACAGACCCAAATACAGACACAGACACACAGACACACACATAGACACACTCAGACAGAGACACACAGACAGACACACACCGAGGCACACAGAGACACAGACATACAGGCCTGTGCACACACACAGACACACACACGGACGGGGACACACAGACAGAAACACAGGCACACGCATGCACCCTCCTAGGACCCATGGGCCCTGTCCTGGGCATGTCCACCATGGGTCAGGACCCTAGATTGGAGCGGGCATACGTGGGCCACGAAGTCATTACAGGATGGGGTCAGAAGTAACCCGGAAGGAGTAGGAGGAGGGGAACCGGGAGGAGCCCGCCCGCCCAGTGACTGGTCAGCCATGACCCTCTCTGGAGCCTGCCTGAGCCCCCCTCCTGGCTGATAACACTGGGAAGGGTTAGCTTTTCAGCCCCGTCTCCAGATAAAAGGCCACCCTTTCCTTGCCAGTAGGACAGCATGTAAACTCCCAGTTGCCTTTGAAATGCTCAAGGGTGGTTTCTCTTCCACTGGTGTGTGTGTTGGGGGTGGGCGGGGGCCATGGTTAAGCCTTGGCAATAATCCCAACCCTGGCACTTCCCTTCCCCTCTGCCCAGGAAGCCTGTGGACCTGCAGAACTTGGCTCCCAGCACCAACCCACCTTTCATGACTTTTTTGACAATGAGGTCGACAGATGTGAATAAGATCGAGGAGTTCTTAGAGGAGAAACTGGCTCCTGCAAGGTGGGCCTCGTCAAAACCAGTGTTGGCGACTCGGTTGTCACTTTTCCCCGTTCACAGACAGTTCTAAAGCTCTTGGCGCTGGGTGTTGGCTTTCTGTGGCTGTGGCGCTTACCTCCTGAGCTGTACCTTGGTGTGCCCTGAGTCTAGGTGGCTGGGATTTCTCTACTCTGCACCTGCCATTTGGCAATTAGGGTTTGATGGCAGGAAGTGGGGAGGAAGTGGGCCACGTGGGTGGCCCGTTTCTGCTGGCCCTTTGGGAGCGTGTTACACGCAGCATCGCAGCAGGTTGGGCCTGCAAGGGAACCCTCTAGTGCATCATCTTTATTTCAGGAGGGAGAGAACCCAGACCAGCAAGGCCAGGGGGCCCTCTGTCCCAGGATGAGGACAGTCCGTCCAGTGCTTTCCTCCTGGACAGTGTTGCTCCCAACTTTGAAGATGGAAAGATTAGGAAAACATTTAAGGAGCAGTTTTCATTTTTATATCTGCTCAGAGAAAGGCATTTCTTCCCCTCCTGCTTTGTATTGTCCCGACTCAAACATTGCTGAGCTGTGATATTCCCGCTTTGAACTTTTCAAGGTACCCTAAGCTGGGGACCCAACACCCTGAATCTAACTCTGCTGGAAATGACGTGTTTGCCAAGTTCTCAGCACTTACAAAAAACACCAAGAAGGATGCAAACGAGAGTGAGTCCCTCGAATCTTCCTGTTTTCTGTTTTCTGCATGGACTTCCATTCTACCTCTGGTGTGGCTTCTTATAAGATCCGGGGAATTCTGACTCACTGCACAGTGGGGAGGGACCTGTGTATAGAAATAAAGAAAAAGTACCTCCCACTGTGAGCCTGCACATGGGTTTCAGAGATTTTCTAGAGATTGTCCAGGAAAGGACATTTTTAGGAGAAAATCATCACCACCAGTGATTCCTTGCTCTCCCGTGAAATTCAGGGTGAATGAACCTTCTATTGGTGCTTCCTTCACTATATGATTTCCATGAAGATTTTTTTTTAATTTTTAATTTTTTAAAAAATGTTTTGGTCACATGGTGTGGCGTGTGGGATCTTAGTTCCCTGACACTGCGCTGGAAATGTGGAGTCTTTTTTAGTTTATTTATTTTTAACTGGAATATAATTGCTTTACCATATTGTGTTGGTTTCTGACATACATCAACATGAATCAGCCATAGGTATACACCCATCCCCTCCCTCTTGAGCTTCCCTCCCAGCTCCCACCCCATCCCACCTGGAAAGCACAGAGTCTTAACCATTCAGTTCAGTTCAGTCACTCAGTCATGTCCGACTCTTTGTGATCCCATGGACCGCAGCACGCCAGGCCTTCCTGTCCATCACCGACTCCTGGAGTTTACCCAAACTCATGTCCATTGAGTCGGTGATGCCCAGCATGAAAGTTTCTCCACATACATTTTTGAATAAATGAATGAGTTATAGAAGCAGCAGTGTTGTGTAGAGAGAAGAATTATTTTCCAAGAAGGAATTTTTTATTTAGATCTCATAAACCCACCTGTCTCCTTCCTGACTCTCTAACATTCACTGGCCATGTCTCAAGAGGGAAGGGACAAACTCCTTTTTTTTTTTTTTGATATCTAGAGAGAGGAGGGCAGGAGCAGAAAGGGATGACAGAGGATGAGATGGGTGGATGGCATCACTAGCTTGATGGACATGAGCTTGAGCAAGCTCTGGGAGTTGGTGAAGGACAGGGAAGCCTGTCCTTGGGACAGTCCATGGGATCGTAAAGAGTCAGACACGACTGGGTGACTGAACAACAACGAAGACAGAGGAGACACGGACTTCCATGGCTCATCTTGGTTATTTTCTGCCTTCCTATGTTAGTTTATGAAAGGAACCTATTGAAGGCCCTGAAGAAGCTGGATAGTTATCTGAGCAGCCCCCTGCCTGGTGAGATAGATGCCTACAGCTCCGAGGAAGCTGCTATTTCTGGAAGGAAGTTCCTGGATGGCGATGAGCTCACGCTGGCTGACTGCAACCTCTTACCCAAGCTCCACGTTATTAAGGTTTGTCCTTCCTCGTACCTCGGGTGCTGAATACGTGAATGGGGCTTTCTTTCATTTTGTTTTGACTTGTGTGTGTGTGTGTGTGTGTGTGTGTGTGTGTGTGTGTGTTTTGCCAAGACAATTTAAAACGGGCTCTTGAATTTAAAGTCTAGCTCGTTGCTGTTTCTGGCAGCCAAGCCCCAAGTCTGAGATCTGTGAATGCTGTTCTCAGGTGTTCCTTGGGGGTTCTCAAAAAGCATCTGAGAGCTTGGCTCTCATCCCTCCATCTTCACAGCTTCTGTTTTCCAGACTTAACCCTCACAACCTAAAGACAAGCTACGTGAAAGCAACTTGAGGGAATACATTGATTATAACTGGTGTTTCACACTCCAGGCTTGGAGGTGGTGTGTGGAATCTTCGAGGATTAAAATGTGAACTCAGGAAATTCCCTGGTGGTGGTCCAGTGGTTGGGACTCAGCACTTTTGCTGGGGTGGCCTGGGTTCAATCCCTGGATGGGGAACCAAGATCCTGCAAGCTGAGCAGTGCAGTCCGAAAACAAAAACAACAACCAAAAAACTGAGCTAACCTTGAAAAAAAAAATGAACTCAGTCAATTGTTGGTGATGGGAAGAGTAAGACTAACCCTGAGACAAGGGAGGAGGTTGGCTCTTAACAGAGACCCCTTACAGCTAGTGAGCAGCTGACAGCTTGTTGACTGGACCACATGCGGCAACCTGTTTTCCCAGGTGATCTAACATAAATAAGAGTCTCTTGTCATGTATAATTAGGGTTTAAAGGTTCCCTAGATCAGTGGTTCTCCAACATTAGTAGGCATAAGAATTGTGCCTACTAATTTAGAAATGTGCTTGCTCAGGGCCTCCAGTCATCTCCGACTCTTTGCGACCCCGTGGACTATAGCCCCTCACACTCCCCTGTCCATGGGATTTTCCCGGCAAGTTTACTGGAGTGGGTTACCATGCCCTCCTCCAGGGGATTTCCTGACCTGGGGACTGAACCCACATCTCCTGCATTGCAGCTGGATTCTTTACTGCTGAGCCACCAGGGAAGCCCTTTTAGAAATGTAAACCCCTCAATTCAGTCCCTGACTTACGAAAATCAGAACTTCTGGGGGTGACTCTGAAATTCAGAAGCAGATGACCCCACCCTTGGACTCCTTACTTATGGCTGTTCTCTGAAGTACCCCAGTCTGGCTGTCACTCACAGCTGTTAGTTGTATCATTATCACTGTTGGTATGCCCTTGGTCCTCAGTGTCCCTAGATTCCCCACGAAGAAGTCCAATCCTTGTTCAGAGGCATCCTTATTATTCAGATCATACCAGGTCCAGAACTAGGTCCTTGGTATAAGGATAGGGACATGGGAGAGAAGACATAGGGAAATACAAATCAAGGAACTTGTGTTTTAATAATGCATTTATTTGGCATTTTAGTTCAGTTCAGTCACTCGGTTGTGTCTGACTCTTTGCAACCCCATGAACTGCAGCATGCCAGGCTTCCTGTCCTTCACCAACTCCTAGAGCTTACTCAAACTTGTGTCCATTGAGTCAATGATGCCATCCAACCATCTCATCCTCTATCATCCCCTTCTCCTCCCACCTTCAACCATTCCCAGCATCAGGGTCTTTTCCAATGAGTCAGTTCTTCGCATCAGGTGGTCAAAAGTGTTGGAGTTTCAGCTTCAGCATCAGTCCTTCTGATGAATATTCAGGACTGATTTCCTTTACAATGGACTGGTTGGATCTCCTTGCAGTCCAAGGGACTCTCAAGAGTCTTCTCCAACACCACAGCTAAAAGCATCAATTTTTTGGCGCTCAGCTTTCTTTAAAGTACAACTCTCACATCCATACATGACTAATTTGGCATTTAGAAATTTACAAATTAGGTTCCCACAGTCTGTGGCACGGCTGTCCTGTAGGTGACTGGCCAGCCTGTTACTCTAGTCATTCTTTGCCTTTCTCTTCCTTCCCCACTCCATTCCCAGCCTTGTCCCATTCATCCTCTTTCTTCTCTCTTCCCTGATGTGTTCATGGGGCACCAACCTGAAAGCTAAGTCTTGAAGATGCTGCTGATCTTCCAAGTGAATGTTCTTTTTAATAACTCTGCCAGTACTCTGACGTGTAAAATTTCATGATGGCATCTCAATCCCTCAAACCTGCCACACTGGTGATTATCCAAACTGGACATTTGAGAGCCATTTTCCAACAGGTTATTTATGTTATTGTGTCTGGTTTAGTCCCTTTATTAAATATATTCTCAGAATTGCTATGACTAGTGTAACATCACAGAAGCACATGGAGTTTAGGGAAGGCAAGAGAAAGACATGTATGTACACACACACATACATACATACATACACAGATCAGTTGCCACTTGTTTAGCTCCTATAAAAAGACACTGTTTAAAATGTAAAATGCACTGGGAAGACCCAGAGGAATCCGGTGGAGAGGGAGGTGGGAGGGGGGATCGGGATGGGGAATACATGTAAATCCATGGCTGATTCATGTCAATGTATGACAAAAACCACTACAATATTGTAAAGTAATTAGCCTCCAACTAATAAAAATAAATGAAAAAAAAAAA